ACATGCCGTGAATTAGAACGTTTCCCATCAATATGTTGGCTACGATATAAGCAGTGGCTTATCCTACTTAGTCGATGACACGCAAATCATCTGAACTTCACATAAAAAGCAGTCGATGAAGTGGACAAACTTTCGTACAAAATAGTTCAATTCCATAATTTGTCAGATCTATGCTGTTCCTGAGTGCATACGTTCATTTCAGTTATACTTACAGTCTCCGAAAAATGCGTCTCAGAAGGATGACCTCCTCAATGCTACATTCCGCTGGTACGCAGAAAGTACTGTCAGAAAGTACTGCGCGAAAAGTTTGTTAACTGCGTTCGATACTTGATGCTTAACTGGAATTTTGCTGAATGGAACAAAATTGCGATTAACGACCGTTGGTATAGTATTCCATTACCAAGAAAACAGGTTAGTGAATACGGTGGCCGAATTCCTCCTTCCATTTTAAGCATTGTCTGTAACATGAACCTGTGAAGGATGACGGTAATTTCCAAAATTTTGCGTAGAGCTCTTTTGTTGGCCTTCAATTCATCCCAGTGTGAGGTGAAAAATAATTATTCCATCGTTTTTACGATGCAAATTTTCATAATTGCAACATTCGTTATTTCAATGTTAAAGAGCGGCCGTAATATGATGCATTGTTGTTCTCAAGTACAAACCAACCTAGGATCCCCTAGGAGATGGTCCGAATGCGTGAGTGGCAGCCTTCTGAAAAATATTGTACGCACAGACACTCCACTCGTAGATAATCAATTATAGCCTGAAGAAGGAGCTTACGAAACAGCAACGGTGGTGGATTGTCATTCCGATAGATGAAACGTATCTGTTGTAAGAAATGACCCTATTAACCGCTGCTTTACACGCTGTTGTTAGATATGGCCTTATTAGTTACATCAAAAAATCAGCTCTCAGGTGAATCAAGGCGAATTGTATTTCCATGGGACGCCTGCATCGAACAGCATTGCCCTACGCCTCATACATTCTGCTACGACTAGACCAAAATATCAAACTGCCTGCATTTATTGCAAGTAACCAACTGACTACCCGCTACAGGGCTGGCTGCACCAAAGTCATATAAGGTTAATTGTTTACTCGATGGAATTTTCAGCAACGGCAAATGTTGTCCCTACAGGAATTCAGGTCCAGCACAAGAACTTCATTTCAGCCGATTCGTTTATTCATCTCAACTGTCTAATATAAAATTGCCATTCGGCCATGTCTTTCAGAGAAAGTAAACACTTGTGAACAGGGTAATGCATCCAATGAATGCTTTGTGCTTAGAACAATGTTCTGGTAGAGCGGACTAATGTTTTATTTAAAATCAACGTCCATTAACCATGTGAGAGTTTTCGCTTCAACTGACTCGGCTGTGAATGCATTTCATGTTGTTTTCTAAGGTAACATGAAAGTGTACGTTACCGGTACATTACAAACTTTTTAATATGACACATGCGGCTTCTTGCAGCAACATTAACTATTCGGTAATATAATAATTAAATTACTGTTACAATAAAATGAAAATTACTGATAAAATAAAAATCAGAGTAACTCTGTCGGTACTTCCATTTGGAAATGTTGCAAATGCACACAACCATTAAAATCAGCGCACATAGGTATCCAAGTGCTGGATGCCTTTCGAAACCTCGTTCACATATGTCTAACAGTTAAAAAAGATAAATGCCAGAATTTAAAATGATAACTAGTCATCAATTAAAAAGCGTGGGAAACAGAAATCAGGCACCACGACACAAGTTGAGTCATTCCGAATAAACTTGAAAAGTAGTTTTCTCGTTTGTTCTGCAATGATATGGAAAACTTCATTCTTATAAGTATGAATCGCTGGAACGAAATATTTTTTATCAAAGTAGAACTATAACACAAACGAATGGCGATATAATAATATATATGTGAATTGCTGATTGTCTCATGCTAATCCAAAGTGGATTCAATAAGATTTGCAGCGGCAATGGCAGATGCAATAACTTGAATACATTTTTCCTTTTTTAAATTAATCATCGGTTTTGTCAATAATCATTTACTTTGTCACTTTAGCTGATCTCAGCATT